TCATATGATCACATGATTTTTCTGTGACTTTTTATTTGTCGATTCTTTTATAGTATAGAATTTGCTTTTTTGCTTCCGCTCACAGCTTCATTTTTATTGTACTCGACACACACACACACACACACACACACACACTCTCTCTCTCTCTCTCTCACACACTCATACACACACTCTTACTCTCACTCACACTCAAAAATGTCGGACTCAGAAAGATCAGGCAAGCAAATTTGTAAAATTAAGAATGCAAATTTTTTAGCTTCGACAATTCTTTTTTGTAATTTCTAACAATTAATCGCTTTTTACTGCATGTATAGTTATATCAAACAGCAGGTAGCAAGAATGCTTTTGAGAGACAATGGAGGTATTGTTTGTATATGTAAATTTATCTTGCTGGTTTTTTTTTTCAATGCAAAAGCACAGCATCTTTTGGTTCGAAAAAAAGAAGAAGAAACAAAGCAGCAGCAAAAGCAGCATCTGAGACAGCAATAGCAGCAGCAAAGAAGCAAGGTAGGCTGCTTTCTGGAGCTGTAAAACCGGTAGAGAGTTTGTTTTGGGTTAGGGTTTGTGTTTTTAGAAAGTATGGGTTTTTTGCTTGCTGTGTATGTGCATAATGCATTTCTTTTTAAAAGTCGAGTAAATGAAGCAAAGCAGATACTCTTTCCGACTTAAAAAGATGCCACACTACACAGCAAAGCAAAACTGCACTGTATCGATAGCTGTGTATATAAGAGGGGTGGGGGTGTATGCTAAAGCGAGCCTTGCAGGATCCCTTCTGGGAAGTCGGAAGCAGTTAAATTTTGCTTTCGCTCTGACCGAAGACGACTCCAAACAAGAGCAGCAGGCAGCATCTGAATCTTTCTGAACATGCAGGTGGGCTGTATCGATAGCTGTGTATGCAAGAGGGAAGAGGGTGTATGCTTAAGCGAGCCTTGCAGGATCCCTTCTGGGAAGTCGGAAGCAGTTAAATTTTGCTTTCGCTCTGACCGAAGATGACTCCAAACAAGAGCAGCAGGCAGCATCTGAACCTTTCTGAACACACAAACAGGCTGTATCGACAGCTGTGTATGTAAGAGGAGAGAGGGTGTATGCTAAAGCGAGCCTTGCAGGATCCCTTCTGGGAAGTCGGAAGCAATTAATTTTGCTTTCGCTCTGACCGAAGACGACTCCAAACAAGTGCAGCAAGCAGCATCTGAACCTTTCTGAACACACAGGTGGGCTGTATCGATAGCTGTGTATGCAGGAGGGAAGAGGGTGTATGCAGGAGGGAAGAGGGTGTATGCTTAAGTGAGCCTTGCAGGATCCCTTCTGGGAAGTCGGAAGCAGTTAATTCTGCTTTCGCTCTGACCGAAGACGACTCCAAACAAGTGCAACAAGCAGCTTCTGAATCTTTCTAAAAACACAAACTGCATCTATAGATGGAAGCTGCTGTATATATAGAGATAAAAGCTCGCTAAATATAAAGCACTGTTGGTATTCCTTCAGGAAAGTTGAGCATAAAGCTGCTTGCAGCTCGAATTTCCTGAAGGGGTTTATCAAAAGATTTGAAAGAAAAAATTCAAAAGCTAAAACTTCTTACAGACTGTGTTCAGAGTCTTTATTCGAAAGCTAAACTTCTTTTATATTATGTACATACAGAATCTTTATTCGAAAAGCTAGCAATCTATCTGGCTGAAGTGCAAGAAGCTGATTTTGCTGCCACTATCGCTGAGCCTCATGAGACCTTTCATGAGCTCTTAGAGGCAGCAACAGGAGTCCCTCAAGATGAAGACCAAAATGTATTTAGTATCGCTCATTTTATAATTATTTAATACATTAACACACTTAAAAATTGATAATACAGCAAATCCTTTGGAAGAAATTCATGGATTTTTTGAAAGCACAGTCAGCAAAAGCCAGAATAAAAAGTCCTACAGCAGCAGCACTAGCTTTCCAAAGCCTGCATGAAAGAATAACGAGTTCTAAAGTCAAACTCAGATATTTGAAAAGAAATTTTGTAAGTTAGCTCTTTTTATCTTAACTATAGCAGAATGATTTAATTTTTTAAAACAACAGATAATAATATTTATTTGCCTACAGGCCAGAAGGAATCTGCTCACAGAAAAAGCATTTCTAAAGCCTGAAAAGGCTCCTATTCGGCTCTTAAGCCCTCTTTCTGGCTACCTAAAAAATGCTGCTTCGAAAAAAAAATTATGAATTTATGAGAATGGTAATGCTCTTACTTCTGATGTCGAGCAAGCCAGAGCTGAGGATCTGCTACCTAATGTGATTCGAAAGCATGAAGAGGCTGAAGTGCGTGATGCAAATACAGGCCGTCTCATATGTGCAGTTTATCGAAATCGCATCAGCAAGGAGGCTCTGGACTTCATGTTCGAGTCAGTTCTCTTAATGTTCCAAGAACGCTCTAAAGTAAAAAGGGGAGAGGTTGAAAAGCTAAAACAAGGAAACATGGTGGCTGCAGGGTATCTGTGCACCCGACATTGTGGAGTATTTACACATGTTCGAAATGTAGCTAAAGCCTTGCTGAATACCCAAGAATTCGAAGATAGAGAAGCCCATATAGTGGCTAGTGTAAGTTTGCTATATAATTATGTAATGCATTTATTTCCCAAAGAGCTAGTAGAGGATGTAGCTAAACTGCTCAAAGAACATGACCTGCCCAGACTGGATGGTGGCAAATATGGAGCAAAAGGAGCAGTTGGTTTCGATATGACTTATAGAGGAACAGCAATACATTTGCCCTACCAACTGGGTCTGTGTGAAGCATATGCTGCTCTCAATTATTCGAAACATGCTCACACAGACAAAAACTTTTTGAAATATGCCTGGGCCTGTGTGTGTGCAAGAGGAATTCGAAATGAAGAAGGTGAATATATGGAAGGAGAATTTATAGGAGGAAATTTTTTTCTTTTAGAGTATGGTATTTTGATTGAATTGGATGCAAACACTTTGTGGTGCTTTCCTGAGCGAGATGAACATGGTACCACTGTTGTTCCTTCGACTGGCTACCAAGCTGTCTGGTCACAGAATCTGGCAACAAAAACTGTGACAGTAGCTGATAAATAGAAAAGAGATGAAGAATCGAAAAAGCAAAAGGAAATTCATTTAAAACAGCTCAGAGAGTAACCCAAAGTGCTTGCATCTTTTTTGAAAGCTGAAAAACAAAAAAAAGAAGGCTATTAATGAAGAGAAGGATGAGGCAGCAGATAAGGAGGGTGGAGAAGCTATTGGGAAGGATGTAATCGGTGGTGAGGAGGATGAGGCAGCAGAAGTGGAGGGTGAGACAGCAGAAGTGGAGGATGAGTTCGATAAAGAGGAGAGTGTGGATATAAGTAAGGAGGGTGAGGCTACAGATGAAGATGATGAAAAAGAAAGCGAAGCTGAAGATGTGTGGAATGATAGCAAGAATGAATGGTATGAAAAAGAAGCAGATATCGATTTGGGAGGTATAGTACAACTTCATTTTGAAAGATGGTTCCATAAATAAAATAAATATTATGTTATATTTTCCATATTTTCTAAATAATTTATGCTTCTGAAAAATAAAAATATTATAATTTTGGCATGTTATGCTTGGCACATTATAAATAATTTTAAACTATATATTAAATACTAGAAACAGCAAAGCTAACTTAATTTTTGAAATCAGCTGAAAAAGGCTGATAGAACTTAGAAATTATATGTTAATTCAAAGATCTGGTGTGAATTTTCATGAACCCTCCTAAAAGTCTGGTTCTGATTCATGTTTGAATTCAAACGTTGTACTCGAATGGAGTTTGGTTCAAATATCGAACCTTACTTGAACTCAAATGAAAGTCCAGTTCGAGTTCAGTTCAAACATCGAATCATACTCGAACTTAAATGGAAGTCTGGTTCGAGTTCGGTTCAAACATCGAACCATACTCGAACTCTAATGAAAGTCTGGTTCGAGTTCAGTTCGAACTTCGAACCTTTCTTGAACACAAGCCAAAGTTCGGTTCGAGTTCGGTTCAAATTTTGAATCGAACTCGAACCCAGGCAAAAGTCCAGTTCAGTTCGGTTCAGTTCATAGGAACACTAATTATAGATAAACACAAATCTTAATTCTTAAGTAACAATATATTTCAACAATTGGTAAGTTCACGATTTCCTGTGAGACAAACTTGAAAGACTTTTTAGACATGGCAACAGATCTAATAGCTTCAATATAATCAATACATGTATTTATTTTACTATTCTATCATAAAAATCAATTGCTCACACTTTAGCCATATTATCTTTTGACTCAGATACAAAAAATCTTCTGTTATACAATTTATCTGGACAAAACATGTTCATAAATAATACTACAATCAAGTGTCTCAACATTATATATGCGAATTTGTTTGATGTTTGTTGTAATAGCAAATAATGATTCGCGTTTTTCATATGAGATCAATTGTTTCATTGTTGTATTCAATAAGTTGTTTAATTCACTTTAGTCCACTATTATATAATCATGGATAATTACTGCAAGGAATTCACTTTTTTATAAACATCTATTTTTAATATTTTTAGAAATATTATTATATATAGTGAAAAGAATGTATAACTATGCATTGTATTGGAACACTTAGATATATTAATTTGATTTCACAGTTTAAATTCCATGATCTTATTGTTATAATTCCATTAAAAAATAGATATAGATTGGCATAATATCTTAAAAAATAAGAAACTTAAAAAAAATCTTTATTTCTCTATATTAAATAATTCTTTCTTTTTTTTCTTAGAACAGATCTCTTTTTCTAATACTCTGATTGTTTCAATAGTTTAAATATTGGTGTTAAATTAAAAATGATTCAAATTA